CAAGTTTGAAGAATTAAGTTTGTAATTTTTGATTTGTCTTAATACACAGTTAAATATTTAGTTATTAACAGTTTGCTTGATTACGATTCACGAATTCGTTTTTTATCGTTGTCAAATGTGATTTTAGACCATTTCTATTGAACTTTTGGTTAGTTAATTCTCCAAATTTTAAGTTTAATATTTTCGAAAGTTTGGTTCGGGAATTTTTTTAACCTTTTTTCGAGTTCTTCGGTGGTTTCTCAACAGCGTACCATCGAGTTTATTCGTGTTTTTTTAATACTCTGGTTATGTGAATGTTAATACTCGGTGAATATGAAATTCAGAAATATGAAATAAACAATGTATGATTTAATCACTAAATATTTATATTTCTGTATACATTAATTTTTACCAAGGAATTATAGCAATCTAGTTTATCGGGCGACTTGCCAGTTTCATGTTTTTTCAAAGTTTCATGACCCCTAGGATACGAAAATGTGGTCTCCATTTTCCGTTCGTCTGTCTGTCTGTCTGTCTGTCTGTCTGTCTGTCTGTCGTCTGTGTCAATTTTTGTTAGTTACGTAGTCTCTGAATATACTGGGGCGAATATTGTCAAATGTTGTACATACAATGCAAATATCATGTAGATAGTAAAACACTAACCAAAATTTGGCTAAACATCTGGATTAACAATTTGATGACGTTATTTCAAAGAAATCTATTTCAAAATGAAGTAAATGTTACACAATAATATACTCCTTATACTTATGGTGCACGAAAGCGCTTTGTGTTTTTTCAAAACATTTTGTTCGATTGGGGCTCAATTATGTGGCTCAATTAATAATTTTAGTTACATAATTGTGACGTCAGTAACATTATTTCGATGTATAAATATAAACACTTGAAATTAAGCTTTTTATTAATGCTGAGAGGACATTTTCCCCTTGATTATCTGATGTAAATAGATTTTACATTGACCGTTTATCCAGCAAAAATTTTGAGATGACGTCATCGACTTTTTAGAAGAGATAAGCACATGGTTCTTACTTGACGATGCTTATGACAACCTTCAAATGTTTGCAAGATTTCAGAGCAATCAGTTTAACAATTTCAAAGTTAAATTGTAAAATATCGTTATACAAATATGATTTTTTTTCCAAGAATCTGGATGTCTGAGACATAAGGGCGGATTCATAAACCACAGTTATAAAATCATAATTTTTTTTTTAATTTAATTTGGATTTACTTTTGATATGGCGACATCAAATTTCCCCAGTAGGACGAAGGAACAAATTTTGGTTAACGTTTCAGTATCTACCCGATAATCTTAAAATACATCAAAAATTTCACGTCAACCATTACAGTAGTTTCGGATTTATCTGTCTAAGAAAATTGCCAACATATGGCAGACGACAGACGGACACGAAAACCTTCTTTTTCATACTCACTTTAAAGGTCATGAACCGTCCAGAAAACCGTGTTACTCTAGGGAAGTAAAAAACATATTTTATTCTATGTCCTTAAGTACTTTCTTTTTTAACGAATACCTCATTACATGTTGCCTGGTGTTTCCGAGGGTGTTTCAAAAATTGTAAGTACAATCCAAAACTACAAGTTTCCTGCTTCCGTATGTCTATCCCTTAATCCAAATCTGAATAGACATAATTTCTTAAACTAGTGAACCAATTATTTCCAAATTATAACTACCTTATACATTAAAATGCTAATGAAAATAATGGTGTATTTATGTTTTCCGAAAAAACTATGGCCTTAACATTAAGTAAATCCACATATTTACAGATTATCCCCAAAAAAACGAAGTAAAATTTCCCTTTAATGTTAACAAGAACTGAAATTTTCGTGTCAACCCTGCTTTTCAAAATGCATTTTTCTTAGTGATGAATATACAGGGTATTCAGGGTAAGTCACAAATAATTATTATTCAGAATAGAAAAAAAAATTAGATGTTTGAAACATAATACACTATATTTTTTTATATTTTCTAACTTATCTCATCTGGCTTTATAAACATAGTTTATTTACAAAATTACAAAAGTTTACAAAAAAATCGCAGTAGAATTATTTTACAATTTAGATTAGAATATTTTGTAGAAAAATAAATAATTTCGTGCTTTATTGTGGTATAAATAAAATAGGGTTTTAATAAACATCGTGTTTAAAAAAAATAAATTAAATTATAATAATTTTCAGTTGTTTCAAATAGAACACCCGCTAAATAGAAATTTTATTAGGCTATGTTATTTGCATTTTTCGTTCTCTTTCTTTTTTTTTTTTTTGTTAAGTATTTTCTATATTTAAAATGGATAGCTATTGAGTTGATAATTTGCATTTTTTAAGGGACACACTAACGCATTGAAAGAAATAGAACAAAAAATAAAAGAAAGTGCAGTGAAAAAAACGCAGGGTATTCTAAATGAAAAAACTGAAATATCGACTTTTGGAAATTGCAAAGATTTTTTCTAAACACTCGGTGTATACAAATTTTATACAACTGATACCATAACAAAGTATCTACCTACCCCTGTTTATCTCTCTACAAAATTATTTTGTAAACCTTTATAATGCTAAAAAAATTCGAAAAAACAAAAAAATTGGAACAACGTGGCAATAATGCATCGAAATTTCTAAAAATAATTATTAAAAAAATAAAATATGGTTATACAGTTTAGGAAGACGCGATAGTAGGGTTTCTGTTCAAAAAAAGTATATTGTGTGCTATGCCACGAAAACAGAACACTCTGTGTAGTGTTTCTCTAGTGTATGTCACACAACTTTGGTATTTGACATTTTTTCTATCTCTAATAGTTAATGAGATATCAAAGACCGCATTTGGTGACACACCCTGTATATTTTTGAACACAGTTTAAAAGATGTTTCTAAAGTACGTACTTTTCCCATTTCTTCTTCATGTTAAAATGTGTGAAATTATGAAATTTCGTTTACGGTACTGTACGATATTAGAGCTTTGATTTTTAATTTCAGTGTTGCTTGCAGAAAATACTAAAAAAATTAATAAAAAATCTAAAAATACCCACTATCTCACATGCATGAGGTATTTGCTGTGTTTAAAACGTGCTAAAAGTTGTACAAATCCTGATTTTATTACACTTCTACCTCACTATATCAAGTTTTTGAAAAATCCCTACCGATTATTAAAGTTTTAACAAGAAGTGCCTTTTCTCCCTAACGTCCGCAAATTATTAGGCCTCCCTTCACGACCCACGTCCGAATGGGTAATTTTTGATGAAATCTGGGGAGCTGCGCCCCGCATAATAATTATATTAGACGCGTCTACATAATCTGGTAAACACTTTGAAAGATGCAAATACCCCTGTTATAAACGAGCCGTCATTTTTCCTCCCCAACGTATTATGGACGAGTATTAGTTAGAAAATTGCAGCGCTGATGGATTTGGCTCGGTTTAATTAAATTCTACCACTTCCGCCTTTCGAAAAACTTTCCGAAGGTGGTGGCAACACTGCGGAACTCATTATGGAAATAACTCGCGGTGAACCGAGCGGGAAAAAAGACGCGAGAAAACACGGAGGTCCTCATTAGGCCGTATTAAAGGCGAGTTATGGCGACTTTTTGCCACCGTTTTGTGCACATAGGCGTCGACTTTTAAAATCTTTGTCAGGGGCTCAGTAAAATTTGCACTAAATCACCACCGAGATTGCCGGGAAAATGCGTTTAGCGAATTTTAGAGGGAGTTTTTATTTTTAATTATACAACAGGTCTCAATTGTTCAGCGGAATACTCTCGACTCTGAACCATGACCAATACGAGCCTAGAAAATTAAAATAATGAAAGAATGTTACAGAGACAGAAACAAATAGACGGAAACGGCAGACCTATTGTTCCGTGCTCTAGGAGTCATGAACCGTCCAGAATTATTAAAGTAACCTTACTTAGTTTAAGCTCGAGAAGTAAAAAACTTGTCCGTTGTTCAGATCTCATGCGCCAAAGCACTCGTGCAGTCGACGCCCATTTTGTGTCGCGTTTATCCCTAATCATTGCGGGATTTGTACGGATTTTTTAATGAGTGACATCCCTCAAAACGGGGAATCCCTCGAACAAATTCCATGAGGGATTTATTCCGCTCCGACAAATTACAAACATAATTATCGAAGCCGGCAATAACTTTTTAATCGTTTTAAATAAATTCTCCACCATTACGTTCTGACGTTTTATTGCTAATCATTTATGCGCTTAAATTAAACCGTGCTAACTTTTAAATTACAGCAGAAAACGTTGTTTTATTTCTGCTCTATCAATATAACTTTTTCAAACTGTGTAAATAAAATTAAGCGCATTCGTCGGCACAGTCATTTTATGTAAAACAACTCTATCAAATATTAATGTTTAAATTGGAACAAAAACTGTTCCACTCCTTCATCAGTAGATAACTATAGATTAGCAGTAATGTAAATTAAATAACAGATTACATTTTTACCTGGAGCTTGATTACAAAAGTCCTAGCTTGTTATGTATTTTTGAATTGTCACTTTACGCTTGATTTTATAATGACACTTTAAACGGGGGTTAAATAAACATAGGTTTGATATGTTTTAACCTCTTTGGTTTCCATTTATAATCTGTTAATCTAGTTGGAATATACATTTTGTAGTTTCAGTTTCTCGTTTCATTTTTACAATTACGATTTAATAACATTTCGTCCGAAGTTGATTTCATTCGTACTAATTGTTGTAACCAGCGAAGCGTTATTTTCGATAATTTTTATATGCAAACTAACGTAAATCACCTAGCAAATTAATTGAACGAAAAACTGTTTGTCAGTTTCATGTAAACCAAATTACCACTGGAGCTCACGTGTTTGCATTTTCGGTGCAGTCAATTCGAAGTGCATCTACCCCGTTTATTGCACCATTAGAATGTTATCAAAGTTTAAAACGTATTGTATTACCACGTAAATAGCAAACTAGTTATTTATCCCTGGAATTGAAATTGAAGTGAATTTGACTCTGTGGTTTGTCTGACAGGTCGCCCAGCAGTGGCCCAGCGGAACAAGTCCTTCAACGCTTTTGCATATTGTGCCACTAAACAGGTGAGTGACTCTCTACCCTAATTCTCACTGTGTTGACAGCGTTAAATGTTATCCGTGATTTGCGTCTGTTGTGTGGCCGAGGCTTTATTAGCTAGATGCATTATTTATCGAAATTGGATAGTCGAACCCTTTTAATGGCGTAGAAATTTTGAATAAGGTACAGCGGAACTAATCCTTCGATTGTGTTTACCTAATTTCCGTGTTTTGCGATAAAGGTGCGTGCTTCGGTTTTGGCGATAAAGAGCCATTCGCTCAAACTAATTTTCGCCAGATTTGGGTGTACACTGTGACGCCGAAAGCGTCGATCTGGGCAAGTCGGGGTAGATTGTTAAACGGTTCTCAAAATTTAGAATAATCTGGAGGGATCAATAGCTTAGATGTCTTGGTGCCTTACTCAGAGCATACTTGACTTGAGTTTTTTTTTCGATCACCATTTGTTAAAAAGTAATAGTTTCATTATTTATTAACATTAACTTATGTTTTAAGTCGTAAAAAATCGTAGAAGTCGTAATTAGATGTAACACATAATAAAATACTACATGACTGAACAAAATGGTGATATTTTGTAAATACTGTGATGTTTAACCGGTGGTGGTATTAGTCGGTGGGCATTTAGAAAAGTCCATATAGAGTGAGAGGCGGCACATTTCCATGACCTACTTCGACCCTATAATTTATCGGAACCCTAGACAATAACAACTTTTTAATAGTACTGCAAAATTTGTTAAGATTTAAACTTCTTTTGCAACGATTTTGGAGTTTTTGGAAATATTTTTAAAGGAACATAAATGAATTTTAATTATTTTTAGTTATTTTTCTTACTAGAATTAAAAGAATTAATTTAAATTAATTGGAAATAGTTTGGAGTGACAATCCTTTCCATTTTCGAAAATTCTGGTACTTCTGTCCATATCAGAATTATTACGGTGGTTAAAAATATAAGACTATTAACACAATTTTGTTAGTGGTTCATGAAAGAAACAAAAATTCAGGGGTTCAGAAAAAAATCACAATAGGGTTATTTTAAAAATCGGTTTTACAATATTATTTCTTAGTAACTCAAATTTACACAGCGATTAAGCACAAAATAACTCCTGTGCAACTTGGCTTGACTCTGCCTTGACTGAACTGGCTGAATAACAATAATCGTTCCCCAAGGTGGCCTCTATTTAAAGCCATGCTTCCCTGGATTTTACTACTGCAATTTATTCTGAATGCAGAGTGTTTGCAGAAAAATGTTAGAAGTTTCAGATATCGATACTTCAGTTTTATCAAATATTATGCTGTATTTTATTCCTTAATCATATTCTGTTTTTTGATTTCTTTCTGTGTGTTCTTTCAATCACCTCGTGTTGATATCGTTCTCACTTTCCTCCTAAATTTTCATTTTAGAATTCTCTCTTATGCATACCCTGACGTCTACCTTTAACGCTTTTGCATTCTTTACTTATCTCTGTTGTGAGATTTTAAATTTGTATTTTTGCATCATCAGCTTATCTTTAATTATTTCGTCTTTTGATTCTCCATGTGATTCTCAAATCTTTTTTATAGGTTATAGCGTAGTGTTCTCGTTAGGAGCCGAAAATTACACAACTTACAATGTATCATGGGGTTTTGTTTGATGATATAGTTAGTGAATTAAGAAAAACAAGATTTACGAAAATTTCTAAAAAAATATTTAACGTGTCATTAAAAAAGGAGTGCAATCTCGTAGACAAACAAAAAAAAAGGGTGTTAAAAATAATTTATAGGATGTTATTTACCTTCTTTTAAAGGTGCCTATTACTACGTATCTATTTTATTTTAATGTATAAGGTTGATTTGTTGGACCGTTCTTCAGGGGTGTGAGAAGTCCTGTCAAAATAACCTTCGACCAATTTTTAATATAACTTTCTAACATTTTCTTGCAGTTAAAAATAACTCTGCAATTTTATATTTACCTGCCACGTCAATTTTATTTTGGTCCCATTTCCATTCTCCTTTCGTCCTTTTTCTTTACCCCTTTTTAAATCAAAACTTATCCAACAAAGAAACGAGAGTGGAAAAATCATAAAATCCACATTACAACTTTGGTTCCTACCTTTATAAATAATATTTTCCAAGCTGTTTCTTGTGTTTTCTCCTGTTTCCGGCACCAAGTGAGACCAAAAATACCAAGGAAATCACCAAATTTCAGCTAGAAATTAATTTTGTCGATTTCTATGGGTTCTGAAGTATATTTCGACATGGTTTGAGAATTCTTATCATCATGACGCATTTACGATTGCAGAATCGACAGATTTTGCGAAAAGGATGGGATTGGGTAAATGTCCCACATTCTCCTGGTTCTAGATTCAAGATTTTTTTTCTTGTGTTTTCTAACGTTCCAGGCATCCAATGGGCCTGAAAATACCAAGGAAACCATAAAATTTTAGGTAGAAATCTTGTGACGCTTACGTTCGCCGTTTCATTTTCAGTGCTGAGGTAAGCGTCATGGCTAACTAGAGCAGAAATTTAAAAAATCAGCCGACATTTGTTGTGTATGTACGAAATTAAACATGAAAATATAACGATATTTTTTGTTAATTTTAATTGTTATAACCGAATGCACTGTGCTGTTATTGTAGCTACTGTTACGTTGGTCTTTATATACTAGCTTATAATCTTGTAAATGTACAATAGTTGTGCTGTTTTGTATGCGCTGCTCGATTTGGAATAGTGGTATTCACTCGATCCGGATTATGTTCAAATTCGAATGAGATCCTAATATTATCCGGGTTTCATTTTTGTAAAATCCGTAATCTGGATCGGGATCATTCGAACTGATTTGAACGCTAGAAGGGAATCTAAACTGTTGATTATGCCTAATCTTTCAAAATTTGCTTTTTGTTTGGAATTAATTTGGAAAAGTAGGTATATCATAACCACTTGAGTACTTAATTTGTAAACAAATTATGACTTTGACAAATTTCCGAAACCACCAAAAAACATTGATTTGAAATTATTTTATAAAAAAAAATAAAAAAAGATTCACAAAATAAACAAATATAATCTAAATCAGCTGAACTGGAAATACAACTGTGAAACATTTAAAATTGTTTTTATCTGTGAAAGCAACTAAACATTACAACTTAAAGGACCAACTAACTGAACAAGAAATATAAAAGTGAAGAATACATGAAGAAAATAAGTTAGGATAAATTGGAAAAGCGCTATTAAGGAATAACAAAAAATTTGACAACTTGATATCATATCCAAATTTTGCTAAGTATGATTTTTAATATAATTGTGATTTACCCATTCAGTCTTTAGAAAAATTCAAAATTGTAGAAAATACAAAACTACTCGCTCTGAATTTGCAGACGCTACAAAGTTGTCGTAAATCAATCCAACCCAATCAAAACGTATCTAAATATTCCCTCAAAAAACTTGATGACGTCGTGAGAGTATTTTCATAGCATAAAAACTACTACTTGTCTGGATTTTGGTCGATAGTTGTTGTAATTCTGGCTGTCAACCATTAAAGTAAAAACGCAAACTTGAAATTACTTAAATCAATTTTGAACGATTTCCGATCTAGAGGTTTTTATGGTTCAGGAAAATGAATTAAATTGGCGGCGATGAATAAAGTGCAACGGAACTAATTCTTCGACGTGTTTACCTAATTTCCGTGTTTTACGATAAAGGTGCGTGCCTCGGCTTCAGCAATAAAGGGTCATTAGCTGAAACTAATTTCGGCAAATACTCGTATACACTATGACGCAGGTTAAATGAAGTGTCGATCTGGAGCATTCGGGTCGGATTTTTAAGAGGTTTTCAAAATTTGGAGCACGTTCAAATCGGAATATTCTATGAATAATAATGAAAGTGATAATGAAGATGGCTTGGCGATTTCGCTCTCATTTGATTTGCCGTCTACTGTACATGTGACGTGTCTGAAATTAGTTGCCTGAAAAGCCTCATATCCTGAAGCTTAAAACAGGAGCTTTAATAACCTGCGCTTATCGTCGGAGCAATCTCTAAGAGCTTTTACCTGCGCGCATATATTTTAAAGTGCCTCAAGAATATAAAAAACTTCCGGACATAAGTGGGTTTTTCTATATTTCATGCAACTTATTCTTAATAAAACTTTCACGACCTTTCAAAGAATGATTGCTGGTCCCCAACTCTTGTAATAACTCAACACAAACATGGCCGACTTCCGCTGGAAATATCGCAGGGCTGTAACCCGTGCGGATTTATGCTTGCTGGTGTTATTATTGTGGGTGGTGGAATAGTTGCCCAACTATGATTGGGTAAGCTCTCATTTCCCGCTTAAATCTTGACTACTACGTCATATTATGTTTGCGGATCATGTCGAAATTATTTTAACATCAGACCAGGGATCGATCGGCTCTTTGGAAGATATTTCCGATATGAGCACCCTTCTAATGCGAAATTCCGCAGAAAAACCGGCCTCGGGTCAAACGTTACATTTCGAGTTTCGTGGGAGCGAGTTTATTCTTTTTGAGGATTTCACTTCCAGGCTTTAATATTCATAAAGACTCCAAAATAAACGTTTATTTTTTGCCAGCGGTAGGTATACGCAATTTCCTTCACGGTTCTCTGCGCCCAGCTTTTTCTATATTCAATCGGCATCACAAACAAATTCGCTTAATTATAATTTCGGTTTTCTCTAATGATGGATCGCCGAGTGTGTGTGCTCGAAGCCGCTTTTGATATTTTTCTTTTGGCTTGGATGCGCTCTGCGAATTATGGTTTGGAAAGTTTTTATTGAACGCGGCCACTTCTTTAACTGTTCGAAACAAGAGGCTCCACAAAAAGCCACATTAAAGGTTTGCGAAGAATTGAATATACAGCTACTTTTCAACCATAGACAAGGCTCTCTGACAACTTTTAAACCGCTGGGGCAAACTCGTTGAAAGTTGGGTTGAAATTTTACCAGTTACAGTTAAATGCTCTTTAAAACTACCAAGTGCAGACTTAATACTGCTTCGCTTACTCCAATTAAAGGAAAAAGT